CAGCCGCTAGCCACCTTTCCGCAGCAAGGCCAAGTCAGGGGATGCAAATGTGGACAGGCTCACATCGGCCGGGCTCATTGTGAGATCTTCATTCAAGGTATGGACGGCCCAGTTGGCCAACTCTTCCACCGAGGACTGCTTCTTGAATAGCGCCTTGAGAGCGTCATCGACGCTCACTTTGGCGTCCCGGTCGATTTCATCGTACAGCGCGTCCTCGCGCACGACCGCTTTACCATCCGCGACGGCCATGACCCGCCCACCTTCAGCGGGGCGGGGCCGTCCTTCTTGGCCTTTCTTTTCTTCTTCTCCTTTTGGCTCTCCTCACTGCTGGTCGCCTTGGAGTTAGAGCCGCTGCCCGACTTTGCGCGCTTCTTCTTGTCCTTCTCCTTCTTGTGCTTGCTCTTCTTGTCTTTCGTGGCCTTCTTCGTATGCTTCTTACCCTTCTTGTCCTTCTTGCTCTTTTTCTTCTTGGATTTGCTCTCTTCGGAGCTGCTCGCGCTGCCGCTTTTTTGCGTGCCAGTGCTGGAGCTGGCGGCGTCCTCTGGACTGGAAGCCACAAGGTTGCATTTCCGCCCTTTTTCTGCCCTTGGCCGAAGATCGCTTTGGTGTAGGAAGCAACCAATGCGGCCCGCAGCGCGCTGACTCGGGGATTCTCCACCAGAGCCTTCACGGCCTTCAGCTCCAGGGCCGGGTTGTCCACGGCCACATGCTCCAACACGGCTGCTGGGTACTTGAGCAAAGCCAGCTGCTCCAGGGAGTCCATGCTCCACAGGTACAGGCGGGCGCTCACCTGCGCCAGCTTCCGGATGCTCTTCTGATGTGGCAGCAGCGCGTTCAGCGAGCCGACCCAGCCATCCACGGCGGCTTTCACATCCTCTTCATTCTCCAGGGCATTGTTGGTCTTGTTGAGGGCCTTGGCGGCTGCGACGTACGTCTGCCCTGCCTCGCTCCCCATGAACTCTACCAGCTCGTCCAGGCCCAGATTGCCGAGCTGTTTGTCTGCGTGGTACTGGAGCGCCTCCGCGCCCATTTCTGCGACTCCAGCGGCCTCGGACAAAGCGATGCCAAGGCGTAGGCACGCAGCTTCACTGTTCCGGGGCGCGCGGGTCTCCGCGATCCTCTTGAGGCTGAGCAGGGTCTTCTCATCGACTTGTTGTGGTAAATAGAAGGGAGACCCCGTAGCCGCGGCGTAGGGCGCCAGCGAAAATTTGGGCAGGCGATCCCCAGGATCCGGTCGCGCGGCGGCGAACCCAGCAGCGGCGGGTTGCGGCTGCCTCCGCCCCTTTCCCGCTCCACGGCCGGCGCTGGTCCCACGGGCCCGACGATACGACGACATGCTCCAAGGCAGTGGAAGCGGCGCGTACGGGAAAGCGCTTGAAGGCTGTCGATGGCTGCGGCGGCGGACACGCACGCTCTCGACACCGCACTCGCCTCGAGACATGACCGGTGGACCCCAGTATCCACATCAAATCAAAACTTGGAAGATCAAGAGGCTGCACCAAATACAGCCAAAACACAAGCACAAGCAAGTAGTCTGTGGAAACCACCTACGACCTCTCTCCAACGTCGCGCCACGATCGGCGCCGCCGCATCTGGAGAACTCGCGCAGCGCGGCCAGCGTCTCTTTTCGGGCGACGCGGTCGCGGTGGTCGCGTCCGCCGGCGCCAGCCGCCAATCGATCTTGCCGGTCTAGGTGTCCCGCGCGGCAGCGGCACCGCAGCCCAGATACCTGAGGCCGACTGGTGGGATGCACGCCCAATGTATGTATGGCACGCATCCGTCCGTTTGTCTGTCTGTCCGTACCTTATGCGTGTATGCCTGCGCGTCGTGTGCATGTATGAATGTGTACCCCGCCCGCCATCCATCCGTACTAGGTGGGGACCTGACGCTAGATATGCTCGGTGACTCGGTTCGCACCGGGTAGGCAAGACCAGAAAACATCCAGAAAAAGCGAGCAGGAAACAATCGAAAGGAAAAGAACTCGGTGTATGTATGTATGTATGTATGGATGTATGGATGTATGTATGTATGTATGTATGTCTGTCTGTGTGTCCCATGTTGCGTCATGACCCAGACCCGGTCCCGACCAATGCCGCCGAAGGTTTCCGCCGTGAGTCCTATTCTAATTTGGGGGTCTACAGGCGGCGCTTTGCACGGATCCGCCCCCACACGCCGCCGGTGGCCTATAGAATTCCCGAAGCCAAACGGCGCCAAAAAACCTTAAAGACCGAAGGCGTGCGCAGACTCGGCCGGGCAGAGCGCCGTCTATCACTGTTCAATAAAAGGGGTTGGTGGCGGCGCCGGGGCCGCGCCGGGTCCTTAGGCTTTCGCCGGCTCGGCCGCCGAGCGCGGGGAGGGACCGAGCCGGCGGAAACCAAAGGCAAATACCTAGGCTTTTGCCTAGGGAAAACCTAGACGGAAACCCTCGACAGCCAAAACTCTCTGGTTCGGCCCGGGCCGGCCGGAGGATGGTCGGCCACCCCCGGGGGTGTCCGACCGCCGGTGGTCGGCAACCCGCCCCGGTGAAGAAGAGACGGTGGTCGGCCACCCCCGGTCCCTGTGCAAGGGGACCCTACGTGGATATCCGCGCGGAAAGACCCGCGGGACGAACGAGGTCTCGGGCTCGAGTCCCCCAGGCGCGCCCAGACCCAGCGCATCACGCGCACCACGGCCGCGCGCAAATGCAGACGCGCAGACACGTCTGTGCATCGGTATCTGCGCGTCTATATATTTGTGTGTGCGCGCGTGTCACTCACTTGCACTTTTTCTTTGGCGGTGTCGTGCAACTGGGCGCGCGCCAGCGTGTGCACGTATGTCTACATCCAAACCTGGCCGTCTGTCCGTGTGTCCGTTTGCCTGTCGGTCTGTCTGTCTGTCTGTCTGCGTGTATGCACGTGTGTATGTATGGAATTACTGTATGTCTATGAGCAAACATTCTTGTCGGTAAGTGCGTTATATTGACAAACGTCAATTGGATGTGTGTCTAGACCAAGCCCAAAAATGCCGAGAAGCAGATTCCAGCATAGGTCCTGAAAATTTGTTCATACCCTATTGGAGTGGAAGGCGTAGACACGATGTCTTCGCCACGGTCGTTCGGGCGCCCCCACCACGGGTAACCCGCCGAGGTCGGCGAGCCGGAGTGACGTTATTCGAGCTTCTACAAGAAGCATGTAGTTGAGGAACGTTCCCGCGGCAAGTGGGATTAGGCGATAGCCACGTCCTCTATTGGATTCGTTCATTTGATATATCGTCCGACTCCGCCAAAATGGAGTCGGACGTTTTGGTAAAGCGTCCGACTCCGGTCCGGAAAACGTCCGACTCCACGCCGGCGGAGTC